GCGGAGGTGGAAGGCCTGCCACCCCACCCCACCCCACCCCGGCCTGGCAGAGGACGCCTGCCCCCTGCTCCCTGGGGGCTGCCCTGACCCTGGGCCCTGTGCTGGGCTTTCAGACTCACCTGTACCAGCTGTGAGACTTGGGCACCTCTCTGAACATTAGCAACTGGGTCCCGAAAATTAGGGTAATTTACCCCTTTGCTGGAATTTGCTTCAATGAAGAGCAGGTAGCTGTGGTTTTCCCAAGAGAAACATTCTCATTTCAGGTAAAGGGCGGGAAACCTGCCTGCTCCCAGCTGAGCAGGGAGGCGCAGTCCTGGCCCGACCGAGCGCTCTGGGGTCCCTGGGCCTCACCCCTGGGTCTCTGAGGGATCCTCCCCAGCTATCCCTCCCCCCCAGCTTTGTGCTGGCGAGACAGTGTGCTTGCCCTCCTGAAAAAAGAAAGAAAAGGAAGTGCAGGCTCCAGGGTGTTTCCCGGGAGGGCGACCTGGAGAAGCGCCGCTGCCTGATGTGTGCTGGGCCCTGTTCCGTTGCAGCCTCACCATGGAGCCGCTGAGCGTGGCCAACACCCGGTTCGCTGTGGACCTCTTCCGCACCCTGAACGAGAACAGCCCCACGGGCAACATCTTCATCTCCCCCATAAGCATTTCGTCGGCGCTGGCCATGATCTTTCTGGGGACCAGAGGCACAACCGCGGCTCAGATGTCCAAGGTCAGCAGAAACAGACCAGAGCAGGCTGCTCTCCTTGCGAGTCCCTACGGAAAGTGGCACTGTATTTTAAAACTGCACTTGTGTGTTCCACAGCTGGCTATACACCGTGAGGCCAGACTTTCAGAAAAGCCCAAGGACAATTTGTTTTTATGAGGCTTTCATTCATGACTGAGTTTTACTGAGCACATACTATGTGCCAGGCACTGTTTTTGTTTGGCTGATGATGCAGTTAAGAAAGCTGCGGAAACCCCTGTGGTATGTTGCTTCTATTCCAGGGGGGGAAATCTTTGACCGCATCTCCCCCTGGACTAAGATTTTTCAGTTTCTGCTTTGCTTGTGACCTGCTACTCATAACGCCTGCTGTGTAGTGCCACTTTCAAGTACAAAATGACACATAGATAAATGCACCACAGTGGAGAAGTTGGTGGTCTTGCCTTTTTAAGGAAACAGGCGACCGTGTGGTTCAGTACTCCTGAGGCCTAGCCCTGTGCCTGGCACAGGTGCCTGTGTGGGCAGGAGGGTCTGCCAGGAGAGGAGAGGGTGAGGTGTGGCAGCTGCTGGGACGGGACCAGGCCCTGGGAGGTGTGGCAGGTCACTCTCACAGGGGTGAAGCAGCAATGATGCCTGCCTTCCTTCCACCCGGCCTTAATGGGCGTGGAGGGCACCTCTGTGCTGTGTGGTCTTTGTTTAATTATGAAAGGGGAACTCTGGCTTTCCTTGAAACTAGAGGAACAGAGTCCCAAAAGCCTGTCACAGATTATATGGTGCCTGTAACTAGGGAAGGTTGAACCCTGGATTCAAATTTATCCACCTATCCCAGCTGCAAAGCTTCTATTACTGCATTTTATGAAAAACCTGCCGTCTTTACCATGAAAGCATTTTAAAGTTTTCCAAAATTCAGTTTTTATTTTACCCCCTGGTACTAATGGTTAGTTGCTCTTGCAGGGTAATGTCAGCTTTTTTTTTTTTAATGAGATTTTAAAAATGTTTTTATTGATTTTAGAGAGAGAAGAAGGGGGGGAGAGAGAGAGAGAAACATCCATGAGAGAACCATTGATGGGCTGCCTCCTGCACACCCCCTACTGAGGATCAAGCCCAAACCTGGGCATGTGCCCTGACCGGGAATGGAACTAGCAACCTCTTGGTGCATGGGTCGACACTCAGCCACTGAGCCATACTGGCCAGGCGGTCAGCTTCTATTTTGTGGTTTTTCCAGGGACTGTATTACCTCAGCAAAGACTAGTTTTAAGGGTTACCCCGCATTTCCATGAAAACAAATTGATCATAGCAACTGTGCAAACATCCCATATCTCAGGGAGTAATGACTTTGTACATTGTGTAGGTTTGTGTTTTGTGTGTGAAAATAAGGAACCAGCCCAGGCCTCATAAAACCATAAAGGGATGCTTGATTTGTAACATGGAAATTAAACTTTTGCTGAATGTTAAGTTTATAGATGTTTTTAAAGGAGTTACTGATGCTGATAGTGTAATTTAAAAATCCCCTCCGTCTGGAATATCTTTGTGTTCCCGCATAGGGGGTGATTCTTATTTTTACTGTTTATTTCTGAGAACTTTCAGTAAAACTATATTTGGTATAGAATTTACATATGAACATACCATTTATGATTATCTTTGGGGAAAAAAGCAGACATGTATAAATATTTAGCTTATTAACCACTCATATTTGTAGAACTATAATTATAACAGAGTGATATAAAAACAGCTTCTAATGTTATCATTATGTCTCACAGAGCTACAAATTTTAGATTCTCTACTCTCCAATGAAAAATTAATAAACTATTGGGCTGGGAATTATTAATAATTAGTAATAAAGCACATTAATTTAATTTGATAGAAGCAAATGCCAAGGAATCAGTTTCAAAATAAATGGTTATAGAAAAAATGTTTTCTTTATTTTAGACTCTTTACTTTGATGCAGTTAAGGAGATTCATTCCAGATTTCAGAGTCTGAATGCTGACATCAACAAGGACGGAGCTCCCTATATCTTGAAACTTGCTAATAGGTTATACGGAGAGAAGACCTATAATTTCCTCCCTGTAAGTACTTTACATTCATGCTCTAAAACTCAGTGGACAATGCAGACGGTTTTCAGCACAATAAGTCACAGAAGTCAGTTTTTATTTTTATAAACATTCAGAAAAATGATACAGAATTAAAACATATGACGGTATCCCCATTAATTGTTATGATTTCCTTTGAGGTCTTCTGAGGAAAAGATCGGCCCTGGCTATTTCACTAAAGCAAGAGGGAATTCCATTAATTCCCTTCCGGGAACAGTCAGTGTATACTCACTCATGAAAATGGTAGAGGTTAGAAAAGAATTGGTACATTTTCTACAACACCATAACTGCTGAACTGTACACTTAAAATGCTTAAGATGGTAAATTTAATGTGTTTTTTACTAAACTGCAAAAAGTATAAGGGTTAGGATAATTTCTGTTGCTTTTAAGGATTTTCGAAAACCATTTCTGTGTGTAAGAGGAGTTATTCATGATTTTCTTACACTTTTTTTAAAATTAAAAAACCAGGATTTCTTAGCTTCGACTCAGAAAATGTATGGTGCTGAGCTGGCCAGTGTGGATTTTCAGCATGCCTCTGAGGGTGCAAGAAAGACCATAAATGAGTGGGTCGAAGGGCAGACAGAAGGTAAGAGGCTTCCCTCCTTCCACCTTCCAGCCTGCAGACCATCCCCGCCCTTGGCCCTCCTCCTGCCCCGGGGAAGCTGCCACTGCCCAGTGCCAGACAGCTTTCCAGTGTAGGGATTCCTCAAAGTGGGGACTTCAGCATGATTTCACTGGAGCAGCTAAATATTTCCCCCATAAGTTCACAAAACTACATTTTAAAATTAAAACTAACATTGGATGTAGGATGAACAGGAAAAAGCTTTGAGGAAAATCCATCTGGCCCAAATTATGGACAAGAATATTCTCGTACCTGTGACTCTCGCTGCTGTGGCCGCAGGTGTTCGGCAGACGCCTGTCTAAGCGCTCGGCGGGTGGCGGGACTGGCTGTCTCAGCCCTCCCCTCCCCGCACCCCGACTCTGCAGTCTGCTCCAGGCTCCCGACGGCTCCAGCCCCTGCGCGCCTGTTCCTCATGGTCACGCCGTGGCCGCAGGGGAACTTGGGCTCAGTGGAGTAACTGTCCTTCCCTTCGGATATGTGTTACAGCCTTTTCTGTGAGGGCAACTTCCACTCGGAGGCTTTGAAGAAGTGATTTATTCACTAGCGACTAAAGTCATTTTCATTAAGGAACAATTTTTATGCCTGAAAAAGAATGACCGTTCACAAGATAAGGCTCATTGTTTCTCAAACACTATAGAAAGGATTGTCCTATTTTTAGCCCTTAAACCCTTTAGTTGGTTTATTTAAAGTCGAAACACCCTGGTAGGCTTTCCTAAGTTAACATGTTAAAGGAAATGAAATAAAAAGTGTGAGTTTAAATAGAATTTCAGTGCTGATCAAAGGTCAGTTCAAATATGGAATTCTGATATGTGAATTTTTTTTAAAGCTTACTTTATCTTTTTAGGGAAAATTCCGGAGTTGTTGGCTGCAGGTGTGGTTGATAATATGACTAAACTTGTGCTAGTTAATGCCATCTATTTCAAGGGAAAGTGGGAGGAGCAATTCAGTAAAACCAGCACGACCGATGCTCCTTTCAGGTTGAATAAGGTGAGTTGATGTAACTGTAAAAGTACCGTTTGCTCCAAGAGACTGCAGATAATGTGACTTGTTTTTTCAAATGTTCAGAAAGACACAAAAACAGTGAAAATGATGTATCAGAAGAAGAAATTTCTGTATGGCTACATCGAGGACCTTCAGTGCCGTGTGCTGGAGCTGCCTTACCAAGGCAGGGAGCTCAGCATGGTCATCCTGCTGCCCGATGACATCGAGGACGAGGCCACGGGTCTGAAGAAGGTAACAGCTCCCTCGCCCGTGTTTTCTGTTTCCTTCTGGTAGATCGATTCTCCTTGTGTGCACGCTGTGTGGCAGCCGCCCATCAATGCTTGCTACCCTGAAGCCCTAAGTTTAACTTTTCGGCTACTGTCAGGGAGTAGTTGTGGTGGGGGTCATCGAAAGATCCACATTAACTTTAACATCAGTCAGTGGCAGCTCACAGAGACTTTCTTAAATCAGCCTTAAAGGAAAATGCAGTAAAATTAGAATTCCTATATTGAAACAAATTTTTTAAAATTAAAAACCCCAAAACATGTATAATAGATAGTTTCATCTTTTACTATGCGGTCCTGTTGTTACACTACTCATTCTCATCGCAATTCATACAGATTGTGAATTAAATTTCTAAGAGCTACATGGTAGCAAAGACCCATGTAACACACTAGCTTGAAAGTCAAGCCTGTTTTCTAATATGAACGTTGTATGACCTTTCTATTTTATTTCATTTAAAGATGATTCCATTTCTTGCCAGGCTAGGACTAGGTAAAATTGACGATTATGGTTTTTCTTTAGTGTCTGTAGCCTGCTGTGTGGCTTTTCTCTATTGTCTCCCTAACCAAACTTGTTATCAGGAAGAGGCCTAATATTCGCATTTGCATGTATGAAGTATGCATTAAAATCAGCGTGTTCCTTATTTTAATTGTATTTCCATATTTGTCTCTTCTCTGATTATGAAAAGAAACTCTGCAGCCCCATGAAAGGGATAGTCACATCAGCAGAACAAGTGGGATGGTGCGTCCGTTCTAGTCGGATAGTGGTAGTAATAATAGTAATGACGATAATGACATTTTGGTGGCACTTACTCTGTGCCAAGTGCTTTGCATACATTAACTCATTTCATGCTCACAACAACGCTGTAAGGTAGATACCATTACCCCTCCTCTCCCCCCATTTTAGAAGAGGAACTAGGCCCTTTACTTCAGCACAGTGAGGTTCACAGATAACCATGGTGATCAGTAGGGTTCAGAATAAATAGAATAGAAGAAAACTTTTAAATTTACCTTGCACCAGTCAACCAGTTCAAGCAATAACAGCCACTGTGGCTGATGACAGTCATCCAGTGTGGTAGGGTTTAGGAAAGCCTGGGCGGGTGGGTGGATGGGTGGATAGTTGAAGGATCCGATGTCCAGTGTCCCTGTTGCTTAGGCCCTTGAGGGCTTGGAACACAGCTCTGTTCTATTATCCCCAATTGATGAAAAGAAGAGAAATGAAATCCCCCAAACAGAATCTGTTTTGGCACAAAACATGAAGGACACTAATTAGCAACTGATCCCGTGGGTCCGTTCACTTAAATAACGCTTCATTACCTTGCTCACGTGAGCCAGCTCTCACCTCTTCTTCTTCTCATTCCAGATCGAGGAACAACTGACCTTGGAGAAACTGCATGAGTGGACCAGACCTGAGAATCTGGGTCTCATCGAAGTCAACGTCCAGCTGCCCAGGTTCAAGATGGAAGAAAGCTACAACCTCACCTCTCACCTGGCCCGCCTGGGGGTAGAGGATCTCTTTACTAGCAAGGCTGATCTGTCGGGCATGTCAGAAGCCAGAGATCTTTTTGTATCAAAAGTTGTCCACAAGTCTTTTGTGGAAGTAAATGAGGAGGGCACCGAGGCGGCGGCCGCCACAGCAGGCATCGCCACCTTCTGCATGCTTATGCCAGAGGAAGACTTTGTGGCCGACCATCCATTCATTTTCTTCATTCGACACAATCCCTCAAGTAACATCTTGTTCTTAGGCAGACTCTCTTCCCCTTAGAGACTCTGGAAATACAAGGCCACACTCAGCTGTATTACCGGCACTTTCAATGGTGATAGTTTTCATGTATCTTCAGCAATAAACCTACCATTCCAAAACAAACCTTTAATTTCCTTTGTAAGGTCAATTCTGCTGGCTGTTTACACCCAGTATCTTTGGCATGGATCTATTTCCCTTTTTTTATATTGGAAACTTTCAGTGATTGCTTTTGAATGCATCAATCAGATGTGTAGATCCTTGACAGTGTAGTGATCTTGATAGCTGTGGGGAAAATTATAATACTGTAGTTTACTTCACAGAGAGACTTCTGGGAACCATAATAGGGAAACACTGTGATTGTTGAAGGGGCACAAAAGCGGGTATTCAATCGAAGCAGGAGAGCAGCCCAATTAAGGGTTGGATTATGAAGACACCGTTGCCGTGGCCAGTGTTCCTGACCCTTCGCCCTGCAGGCTGTGTGTCCTGTTGCAGCCCTTCTGTTCTGAACCGTTCAGGGGCCACCTGGTGGTACTCTGCCCTCCCTTTTTCATTCCCTGTTTTCCCACCTGATAGGTAGTTTGGGTGGGATCATGAGTGGAGAAGTAGGTGTCTTACCTTAAAAGGCCAAGAAACTGCAAAAAGAAGAATGTAGCAGGAGAGACTGTTAAGCAGAGAGGGTTTGCAAAGATCTCGCTGCTCAGCGGCTTCTTGTGTCTTTTCTGACAGGCTCTTGACTTCCAGCGTCTGACAGGACTGATGGCAATGGGATGGCAGGAGGCAGTGCTGGGTGGGGGAGGGGCTCTTTGATCATAAACCTTCGTCAAAAGCACTCCTTGGAATGGGGCTCGAAGCGCTGCATTTTCTTGCTCCCTCAAGCTGGTGGGCTGGCTAATAACGTTTCCCAAGATTCTGCTAGCCAGGCTGATCTCAGTGGTCGTGTTTCTACCCAAGCGCGGAGAAGACAGGACTATAAAATGGGGTTCTTGGACTGGCAGTACTGACATCCATGATGAGAGTCAGTGACTCTGCCCAGCCGGGTGTGGCTCGGGTTGAGCGTCGACCTAGGATTCAGGTTATCAGGGTTCAATTCCCAGTCAGGGCACATGCCCTGGTTGCATGACTCTCTCATCACTGATGTCTATCTCTCTCCCTCTCCTTTCCTCTCTCTGAAATCAATAAAGATATATTTAAAAAAAAGAAAAGAAAAAAAGAAGAGAGTCAGTGACTCCATGGAATAAATAAAAGATTTTAGCAAATCCCCTGTTGGCAAGCTTTCCTTCCTTTTTTTCTTAAAATACTAGCACCTACCACATATCAGGCTCTCAGCTATAGAAGAAATAAGAAAAGCAATAGTCACTACATTCTGTAATTCTTCTCTTTGGGCTCCTTATCCTAAAATCTACTCAGTGATTTAGAGTAAATCATGCTAATCAAGTAGAAACTGAATTCCAGGGCCCCAAGCAGCTCTGCTCAAAGCCGCCTTTTTATATATGAGGGAATAGGCTCGTGGACCAGTTGAAGGTTATAACAACTAATAAATTCCAGAGCAGATGGTAGAATCCAATTTATATTTTATGTGAGAACATCTCACTCTTGTAATGGTGAACTAGGTAATGTGGACCTCCTAACACAACTAAAAAACCAAACCAAGCAGGCTCCCACCCAAAGGCAAAGGAGAGCTGACGTGATTATGAAGAATTACTCAGCAATGCAGGATAAATTGGCGACTATGGAAATTGGGGCTACTTTAGCTGCAGGGGCATTTTCCAATCCAAAAGGGGTAAATAAGACTTGAAGTGGGGATTTCAATGACAGTTAAGGGCAGGCAGGCAGGCAGGCAGAGAGCCTGTTAAGGGTGGAGACCCCGTTGTAACTTGTGTGCTTTCATTTAGCTGCCTGAGAGCTACACTCCAGGGTTATGAGTGAAACAGCTCACAATGCTGCCCTGAGGTAAGACCTCGGACAGTACCCAAAATTCTAGTCTCTGGGATTGGGTTACATCTCTTCTGGTTTGTTACTACCCAGAGGCACATGGAGGAAGCAAACAACAATCATCTCTGGGCAAGACTACCCATAAACCTCAAATTATGTTTATATTCAGCTTTTAAAATACACTACCCAGCACATAATGAAAAATAACTGGATGGGTGAGGGGTCATGACAACATGAATAAAAATCACAAAAAATTATGCAAACAGAAGTACAGAGGCGCCCAGCCGGGCGTGGCTCAGCGGTTGAGCGTTGACCTAGGATCCAGGCAATGAGGGTTTGATTCCTGTCCAGGACACATGCCCGGGTTGCGGGCTGCAGCCGATAAATGACTCTCTCATCATTGATGTTCCTATTTCTCTCTCCCTCTCCTTTCCTCTCTCTGAAATCAATAAAGATATATTTAAAAAAAAAAAGTACAGGGGCTCCAAATATTGGAATCATCACACACAATAAAACAACACTGTTTTCTATGATCAAGTCGATAAAAGACAAGTTTAAAAATTTCAGCAGATAACTAGAAATTTAGAAGAGACTGCATATTTGAATAAAAATGAAATAAAAATCCTAGAATTCAAAAATTGAACACTGCATGAACTAAATAGATAACATTTATCAACAAATTAGACAGGAAAAAGTGAATTGTCAGACCAGAAGAAATTATAATTCTTTCCAGAAAGACAATTATAGTAAGCAGAGCCTAGAAAAATAAAACAATGGAAAATATAAAAGGAAGGGTAAGAAGCTCAAAATGGTAAGAAGATGATTGACAGCAAAAGAGAAGATGAGGCAGTATGGCAAGAAGGATACTGAAAGATCTAACATTCAAAATGTGAACTCTAAAACACATAAACATCAGTTCACAGGTTAGGGTCCCACTCAGCCCCCAAGCCGGATACTGCAGAGAAGTCCGCCTCCAGTCACATTCTAGCGAAGCGGCTGAAGTCCAAAGGCTGTAAGAGGTGGTCGTACAGGAAATAAGATGAAACAGCTGCAGTAAGAAGACAGAGCGCCGCCAGAGCAGCAGCGGTTAGGACAACGCAGGGGTCAGCAGGAGTGAGAGCCGGAGACTGCAGGCCAATGGACACGCTGAGAAGAGCACCAACAAGAGCCCTGCCAACCCAGTTATTCTGTACCCAGGAAAAACATTCCTCAGGATGTTTCAGACAGAGCTCACCCTCAGCAAACTGTAAAAAAATCCCAGAGAGTATTACTTACGCAAAAGGAGCGTCGGAGTTGTAAGAGACCAAGGAGCAAGGAAGAGCGTAAACATGAATTTAAATAAATATTGACCATATGAAACCACAGTAATGTCTGCAGAGTTCCAAACACAAGGTTAAAACCCGCCGAGGCTGGGGAAGAGCCGCGCAGGCAGCTCCCTAAGGCCGCGTGGCCTGGGGGAGTGAGCGCTGGCGGCCGGGCTGCGTGGGCCTCGTGCCCGCAGGTCGCCTCGGAGCCGCGGCACCGCAGCACCGCACCG